TCTCCCTCCCTTACCTCTCCATTCTTGACTCCCTCCCACCCTTCCCCATATCCCACCCCCTTCCCTCACTACGTCACATTATACGAGTAGTTCAGAGTGTCTATCCTCACTCTGAGTACTTGAACGTGTTCATACCAAGTTCGTATTCCTCGCCTACGAATCAGGATGTGTTTTATCCACTGTTATACACTTTATCAACGTTTCTCAATAGCTTAGATGTTGTAAACATGTCTCCACTGTTTTGTTGTATTTGCAAAATTTCTCGGTAGTGAGGAAAATTTTGGGACTATTGATCCCAAAACTTCTGAAGAATATTGTCACTGAGGCCTCAAAAGTTCCCAAGAATGTTGCCACTGAAGCCTCTAAAGTTCCTAAGAATATTGCCACTGAAGCCTCTAAAGTTCCCAAGAATGTTACCACTGAAGCCTCAAAAGTCCCCAGGAATGTTCACTGAAGCCTCAAAAGTTCCCAGGAATGTTCACTGAAGCCTCAAAAGTTCCCAGGAATGTTACCACTGAAGCCTCAAAAGTTCCCAGGAATGTTACCACTGAAGCCTCAAAAGTCCCCAGGAATGTTCACTGAAGCCTCAAAAGTTCCCAGGAATGTTACCACTGAAGCCTCAAAAGTTCCCAGGAATGTTACCACTGAAGCCTCAAAAGTTCCCAGGAATGTTACCACTGAAGCCTCAAAAGTCCCCAGGAATGTTCACTGAAGCCTCAAAAGTTCCCAGGAATGTTACCACTGAAGCCTCAAAAGTTCCCAGGAATGCTACCACTGAAGCCTCAAAAGTTCCCAGGAATGTTACCACTGAACCCTCAAAAGTTCCCAGGAATGTTGCCACTGAAGCCTCAAAAGTTCCCAAGAATTTTACCACTGAAGCCTCAAAAGTTCCCAAGAATTTTACCACTGAAGCCTCAAAAGTCCCCAGGAATGTTGCCAGCGAAGCCTCAAAAGTCCCCAGGAATGTTGCCACTGAAGCCCCCCGTCCTACGGACCCACCTGTCGTTCGGTCAAACTCGTTCTTCAACTCCGAGCATCAACCGTTCCACTCCGAGCCTTTCTTCCCCCATCAACTCCTGGCCAGCCGGGCATTGATATACTGAGGTAAAAATATTCCCGTATAAGTTTATGTCATAATTACCAAGCCAGTCGAGATATGTATCTTTCTTAATTACAGCTTTGGACCGAATTCTCTTCTCCTGTCTCTCATGGTCACCTCTCGGTCTGTGACCTCTGATATGATGACCTCTCTCTCATGGTGACCTCTGATATGATGACCTCTCTCTCATGGTGACCTCTGATATGATGACCTCTCTCTCATGGTGACCTCTGATATGATGACCGCTCTCTCATGGTGACCTCTGATATGATGACCTCTCTCTCATGGTGACCTCTAATATGATGACCGCTCTCTCATGGTGACCTCTGATATGATGACCTCTCTCTCATGGTGACCTCTGATATGATGACCGCTCTCTCATGGTGACCTCTGATATGATGACCGCTCTCTCATGGTGACCTCTGATATGATGACCTCTCTCTCATGGTGACCTCTGATATGATGACCGCTCTCTCATGGTGACCTCTGATATGATGACCGCTCTCTCATGGTGACCTCTGATATGATGATCTCTCTCTCATGGTGACCTCTGATATGATGACCTCTCTCTCATGGTGACCTCTGATATGATGACCGCTCTCTCATGGTGACCTCTGATATGATGACCGCTCTCTCATGGTGACCTCTGATATGATGATCTCTCTCTCATGGTGACCTCTGATATGATGACCTCTCTCTCATGGTGACCTCTGATATGATGACCTCTCTCTCATGGTGACCTCTGATATGATGACCGCTCTCTCATGGTGACCTCTAATATGATGACCTCTCTCTCATGGTGACCTCTCTCTCATGGTGACCTCTAGGAGAGTGACCTTTTGTAGGGTGAACGTTTTCAAAGTGAGCTCTTGCTCACTGGCCGCCCCAATGGTGACATCTCGACTGATAAATGACAGGTGGTGACAGCTTGGTGACAGCGTAGACAGACAGGGCCAAGAGACTGGAGACACCAAAGGTAGTCATGACTGATAGAATAGTGACAGTATAAACAGTCACGAGAGACTTCAGACACCATAGACACAACTGACAGACTGGTGACAATACAAGCAAACTCGACTGACAGGTCGTAACTGTGCCATAAAAACATGAGAGAGGTGAGATATAACTGACAGTGAAAAATAAGTTAGTGGTATTTTAAATGGGAACTTTGTGTATTTACAGATAAAAGAACTTGGCATGGTGTCTGTAAGTGGCTACCTGGGAGAAAGTTATTAAACAAATAGAAAAATTAAAGTCGAACAAGTTGCCTGCGCGCCAGTCGAGGTATTTGCCAGGGTTGCTTGAAGAATGTGAAGAAGAACTGAGGGAGCTTTTATTTTCGTATTTAATAAATCATTGAGAGTTAAGCAGGGTAGCCTGAGTCGTGGAGGGTTGCTAATGTGGTGCCGATTATTTGGAGGGAGATAGATTACTTGCCGTCGAACTATCGTTAGCTTTACGTCTATTATAGATAAAATTGATTGAATCGATAATAATAAAAAACACTCGTTTATATCGTGGAAAAAAATTAGAGATTAATGAAAGATTCACAGCATGATTTTTATTAGAGCATATATTCTTTTACAGTATATTTCAAACGGCATATCCTAAACCTGACTTTAGGAATGGTTTTAATTCAGCGTCTTATTGAACATTAAAAAAGTAAAAAGAAAACAGTGTTAGTATAGAGTTAAGTTTTAGAGGGCAGACTGTTGTAAGTGGTGAGCCCGAGGGCCTCGCCCTCTGTTGTCAACCACGAATATGAACAAAGCGTCACAAGATTAAACAGGAACATTTATAAAACTTGCAGATAATACAGATATAGGGAGGGAAGCAACTACGAAAAATTGACACCAAATTGCTACGAGACGATCTACTTAGGGTTCAAAATCGACGAAGCCTTAGACGCCCAAGGGAGACATTCTCGTAGAATTTTCCTCCTTTGCTTGGCCACTTATCTCTGACTCTTTGTGGATTTACTATTTATACCTGCAGGATCGAGCTCTTAGCTCTTGGACTCCGCCTTACTAATCGTCGGCTGTCTAATGTACCCCCCTCTCTCTCTCTCTCTCTCTCTCTCTCTCTCTCTCTCTCTCTCTCTCTCTCTCTCTCTCTCTCTCTCTCTCTCTCTCTCTCTCTCTCTCTCTCTCTCACACACACACATCCCCCAGGATGCAGCCCGCAGCAACTGCTAAACTCCCAGGTACCTATTTACTTGTTGGTGAACAGAGTATCTGCGAGAAAGAAACTCTGCTCATTTGTTTCTCCTTCAACCGGGAATCGAACCCAAGCCCTTAGGACTACGACCTCCGAGCGCCGTGTGTGTGTCTCTGTCTGTTGGGGCTGTTACTGCCCGCCCTTTCGCATTCCCTAACCCACGTTGTTTCTCTTCTTCAGGCCCACAGCCTGAGGGAGATTTACCCCAACATCCTCGGGGTGACGCCGAGGAAAATAAGACTCGCGTCCCTACCAAAACGAAAAAGACCACCACCACCTACTCACTTACTACTGCTCCTCCTCCTGTTTTTCCAGCTTGCCGTGTTGAATGACGACAATGACGAGCAGGAGTAATCTCGGCGGGGTAGTTATGATCGTTCGTCCACGCGGAGTAACTGCTCTCCTCCGCCTCTGTTCGTCTAACGTATCGACATAACGCCATACTGTCGGGCTGCTAGAGAGTCCATAGTGAGATTTAACTTGCAAAGCAGGATTAAAACGCAAAACCGAGGGGAGCGAGGGGTGGGTGTGTGTGTGTGTGTCTTGTGTACTATATATCAGTAGTACTGTTGAGCCAGGAGGCCTGGTCGACGACCGGGCCGCGGGGACACTAAGCCCCGGAAGCACCTCAAGGTAGCCTCAAGGTAGCGCCTGGGGGAGGAGCTCCAACATCCTCAGCGCCTGGGGGAGGAGCCAGAACATCCTCAGCGCCTGGGGGAGGAGCTCCAACATCCTCAGCGCCTGGGGGAGGAGCCAGAACATCCTCAGCGCCTGGGGGAGGAGCTCCAACATCCTCAGCGCCTGGGGGAGGAGCCAGAACATCCTCAGCGCCTGTGGGAGGAGCTCCAACATCCTCAGCGCCTGGGGAGGAGCCAGAACATCCTCAGCGCCTGGGGGAGGAGCTCCAACATCCTCAGCGCCTGGGGGAGGAGCCAGAACATCCTCAGCGCCTGGGGGAGGAGCTCCAACATCCTCAGCGCCTGGGGGAGGAGCCAGAACATCCTCAGCGCCTGGGGGAGGAGATCCAACATCCTCAGCGCCTGGGGAGGAGCCAGAACATCCTCAGCGCCTGGGGGAGGAACTCCAACATCCTCAGCGCCTGGGGGAGGAGCCAGAACATCCTCAGCGCCTGGGGGAGGAGCTCCAACATCCTCAGCGCCTGGGGGAGGAGCCAGAACATCCTCAGCGCCTGGGGGAGGAGCCAGAACATCCTCAGCGCCTGGGGGAGGAGCTCCAACATCCTCAGCGCCTGGGGAAGGAGCACCAACATCCTCAGCGCCTGGGGAAGGAGCACCAACATCCTCAGCACCTGGGGAAGGAGCACCAACATCCTCAGCACCTGGGGAAGGAGCACCAACATCCTCAGCGCCTGGGGAAGGAGCACCAACATCCTCAGCACCTGGGGAAGGAGCACCAACATCCTCAGCGCCTGGGGAAGGAGCACCAACATCCTCAGCGCCTGGGGAAGGAGCACGAAAGTCCTCAGCGCCTGGGGAAGGAGCACGAAAGTCCTCAGCGCCTGGGGGAGGAGCCAGAACATCCTCAGCGCCTGGGGGAGGAGCTCCAACATCCTCAGCGCCTGGGGGAGGAGCCAGAACATCCTCAGCGCCTGGGGGAGGAGCTCCAACATCCTCAGCGGCTGGGGGAGACAGATGTCATTGGTCTGGGTTGTCTAAGGTGTTAATTTCGAGCTATAAAAGGCCACGGAGGCAAGTTTTAACGTCTCACGCATTCGCCCTCAGAGAATTGTAGAGGTGACTGACGACTCTCATCAGGGTGCTGGGGTGTGTGGAGGCCCCCCAGTGGTGGTGCTGGGGTGTGTGGAGGCCCTCCAGTGGTGGTGCTGGGGTGTGTGTGGAGGCCCCCAGTGGTGGTGCTGGGGTGCGTGGAGGCCCCCCAGTGGTGGTGCTGGGGTGTGTGCAGTCCCCCCAGTGGTGGTGCTGGGTGTGTGTGTGTAGGCCCCCCAGTGGTGGTGCTGGGGTGTGTGCAGTCCCCCCAGTGGTGGTGCTGGGTGTGTGTGTGTAGGCCCCCCAGTGGTGGTGCTGGGGTGTGTGTGCAGTCCCCCCAGTGGTGGTGCTGGGTGTGTGTGTGTAGGCCCCCCAGTGGTGGTGCTGGGGTGTGTGCAGTCCCCCCAGTGGTGGTGCTGGGTGTGTGTGTGTAGGCCCCCCAGTGGTGGTGCTGGGGTGTGTGCAGTCCCCCCAGTGGTGGTGCTGGGTGTGTGTGTGTAGGCCCCCCAGTGGTGGTGCTGGGGTGTGTGGAGGCCCCCCAGTGGTGGTACTGGGGTGTGTGTGCAGTCCCCCAGTGGTGGTGCTGGGTGTGTGTGTGTGTAGGCCCCCCAGTGGTGGTGCTGGGTGTGTGTGTGTGTAGGCCCCCCAGTGGTGGTGCTGGGTGTGTGTGTGTAGGCCCCCCAGTGGTGGTGCTGGGGTGTGTGTGTAGGCCCCCCAGTGGTGGTGCTGGGGTGTGTGTGTAGGCCCCCCAGTGGTGGTGCTGGGTGTGTGTGTGTAGGCCCCCCAGTGGTGGTGCTGGGGGTGTGTGTGTAGGCCCCCCAGTGGTAGTGCTGGGGGTGTGTGTGTAGGCCCCCCAGTGGTGGTGCTGGGGTGTGTGTAGGCCCCCCAGTGGTGGTGCTGGGGTGTGTGTGTAGGCCCCCCAGTGGTGGTGCTGGGGTGTGTGTGTAGGCCCCCCAGTGGTGGTGCTGGGGTGTGTGTGGAGGCCCCCCAGTGGTGGTGCTGGGGTGTGTGTGTAGGCCCCCCAGTGGTGGTGCTGGGGTGTGTGTGTAGGCTCCCCAGTGGTGGTGCTGGGGTGTGTGTGTAGGCCCCCCAGTGGTGGTGCTGGGGTGTGTGTGTAGGCCCCCCAGTGGTGGTGCTGGGGTGTGTGTGGAGGCCCCCCAGTGGTGGTGCTGGGGTGTGTGTGTAGGCCCCCCAGTGGTGGTGCTGGGGTGTGTGTGCAGTCCCCCCAGTGGTGGTGCTGGGGTGTGTGTAGGCCCCCCAGTGGTGGTGCTGGGGGTGTGTGCAGTCCCCCCAGTGGTGGTGCTGGGGTGTGTGGAGGCCCTCCAGTGGTGGTGCTGGGGATGTGTGTGCAGTCCCCCAGTGGTGGTGCTGGGGTGTGTGGAGGCCCCCAGTGGTGGTGCTGGGGTGTGTGGAGGCCCCCAGTGGTGGTGCTGGGGTGTGTGTGCAGTCCCCCCAGTGGTGGTGCTGGGGTGTGTGGAGGCCTCCAGTGGTGGTGCTGGGGTGTGTGTGCAGTCCCTCCAGTGGTGGTGCTGGGGTGTGTGTGCAGTCTCTCCAGTGGTGGTGCTGGGGTGTGTGGAGGCCCCCAGTGGTGGTGCTGGGGTGTGTGTGCAGTCCCTCCAGTGGTGGTGCTGGGGTGTGTGTGCAGTCTCTCCAGTGGTGGTGCTGGGGTGTGTGCAGTCCCCCCCAGTGGTGGTGCTGGGGTGTGTGGAGGCCCCCCAGTGGTGGTGCTGGGGTGTGTGGAGGCCCCCCAGTGGTGGTGCTGGGGTGTGTGTGCAGTCCCTCCAATGGTGGTGCTGGGGTGTGTGTGCAGTCTCTCCAGTGGTGGTGCTGGGGGGTGTGTGCAGTCCCCCCAGTGGTGGTGCTGGGGTGTGTGTGGAGGCCCCCAGTGGTGGTGCTGGGGTGTGTGGAGGCCCTCCAGTGGTGGTGCTGGGGGTGTGTGCAGTCCCCCCAGTGGTGGTGCTGGGGTGTGTGCAGTCCCCCCAGTTGTGGTGCTGGGGTGTGTGTGCAGTCCCTCCAGTGGTGGTGCTGGGGGTGTGTGCAGTCCCTCCAGTGGTGGTGCTGGGGTGTGTGGAGGCCCCCCAGTGGTGGTGCTGGGGGTGTGTCGAGGCCCTCCAGTGGTGGTGCTGGGGGTGTGCAATTCCAGGGGTACTGGGGTGTGCAGCAGGGGGGTGCTGATCACCCTTTAGGAGGGAGTGGTAGGGGTGTAAGGGCGCCACAGCTTCATTAGGGCTATTTTAAGCCGTATATATACTCAATCTTAGCCTTAATGCGGTACAAACATGAATGAGAAAAGCCGTAGGAGCCGTGATGAGGGTTCGAACCCACGCTCTGGGTGTTCCCACGCACATGCTCTAGCCACTAGACCACGACATGGCATGAGGATTGCAACCTGGAGTTCTACTGAACACACACAAGGATTTTCTGAGGCTTTAATTGAAGCCGGAACAGGATTTTTACACACAATCCTCCCCATGCACTCTGTTATCTAGGACGTGTTGAGCAGACCATACACTAGAAGGTGAAGGGACGACTACGTTTCGGTCCGTCCTGGACCATTCTCAAGTCGATTTGAGAATGGTCCAGGACGGACCGAAACGTCGTCGTCCCTTCACCTTCTAGTGTGTGGTCTGGTTAACATACTTTAGCCACGTTATTGTGACTCATCGCCTGCATCTAGGACGTGTTCTACCTTTGACGCTCCTCTTTCAATCCCCAGAGTAATGACCATGACAGAGCCAGAGTACATGGGGAATAGTGTGAAAATGCTGTTCAGGCTTCTGTAGAAGCTTCAGGAGAGGCTTGTGCTGGAAGCCGCCACCGCCTCACGCAATGAAAGCGTCTTACTGAAGGCATGCTTGTGTGCCTTGCAATAGCATATCCAACTGTGCTTACAATAGCATATCCAACTGTGCTTGCAATAGCATATCCAACTGTGCTTGCAATAGCATATCCAACTGTGCTTGCAATAGCATATCCAACTGTGCTTACAATAGCATATCCAACTGTGCTTGCAATAGCATATCCAACTGTGCTTGCAATAGCATATCCAACTGTGCTTGCAATAGCATATCCAACTGTGCTTGCAATAGCATATCCAACTGTGCTTGCAATAGCATATCCAACTGTGCTTGCAATAGCATATCCAACTGTGCTTACAATAGCATATCCAACTGTGCTTGCAATAGCATATCCAACTGTGCTTGCAATAGCATATCCAACTGTGCTTGCAATAGCATATCCAACTGTGCTTACAATAGCATATCCAACTGTGCTTGCAATAGCATATCCAACTGTGCTTGCAATAGCATATCCAACTGTGCTTACAATAGCATATCCAACTGTGCTTGCAATAGCATATCCAACTGTGCTTGCAATAGCATATCCAACTGTGCTTGCAATAGCATATCCAACTGTGCTTGCAATAGCATATCCAACTGTGCTTGCAATAGCATATCCAACTGTGCTTGCAATAGCATATCCAACTGTGCTTGCAAGTTCCTCGTTATTAAGTTGATAGTGAGAGCCCACTCCGGGATTTTGAGATGTTCTTTGTGGGGTTATAACTTATTCTCTCTGGAGGGTGCATAAGATGTCCCCTTTGACTTGAAAATGAATCACTCGGCTTGAGAATGGTTCAGGACGGACCGAAACGTCGTCGTCCCTTCACCTTCTAGTGTGTAGTCTGGTCAATTTACTTTAGCCACGTTATTGTGACTCATCGCCTGCATAAGATGTCCCCTTTTCAGGGTGCGAGATGTCGTTTTGCTAAATATATGGTCCTGACGTCTCTCTCCCTCTTCACTCTTTCCGAAAATTCTGAATTGCTGAACTCTACGTACTCTACTTTCTTGTTCTGATTTTAACTCTTTATACGATTAGGTTTCTAGTGGAATTTTGTTGTCTGTTCTCTCACTGTCTCTTCACTGCTTGGAAACGACAGTTTTCTGCAGTTTGGCGGTTTCTTCTAACTTAAATTGACCCTCTGGCCTGTGTGACTGTGAATACGAGCATTATCCTCACTCTAATAAGACCTAATTGAATTCCTCGTATTAGGCAAAATTGTAATTAATTTTTCGTCAATAAAGATGTTAATAACAATAAACTTAAATTTCCACTTTAGTTCTGTTTCGAAATTTGCCCCTTTTTGTATGGTGTCTACCCACTGATGTATCTTGTTCATCACAGGGGTTTCTTGCCTCCTACTACTTGCCCATGATTGAATCTCTCACATAATTCGGGGGATTTTATCCTAAGTTTAAGAGCAATTTTAACTGCTCTAACTGATGTTCATTTCAGCTCTGTGGCTCTTTTCATAATCCTGCTGTGACTACTGATTTTTGATGATTGGTTAAGACAACAGCCACAAATCACTACTTTGCCTCAGCATATTTGTATAATTTTGGTAATACCAAAGTGTCACCGAGATGCATAACACTTGGTGCCACAAGTGTTATGCATCATCTGTTCTCTTATTTGGTAGTTTAATGCCCCAGCAACAATAACATCATGTCTTCCTCACGGGTCTTTTATTCAGTTCAATTGCTTTGTCAGAGATACCATCCGTATTTGTATATAGGGATTCTTGGTAATTCTAACCAAATTGCCATTAAGGTCCCTAGTAGGCTGGGGAATGAAACTGGATGAGCGAAAGGGAGGTTGAGAATAGGAAAGGAATAGGATGATAAATAAGAAGGGAGAAGAGAAGAAATGAAAGAGGTAAAAATTGAGGAAGATGAAAAAAGAGAGGAAGAATAAAAGAAGGATGAAGAGGATGAAGAAGGAGAAGGAGGAAGATGAGAAGGAAGAGCTGCAGGATTGATGAACATGTAGGAAAGGAGAATGAGAAAAAAGACCAATGGGAGAGAAATTATTGTTTCTGCTGCGCATTTTGCCGAATTCCTTGAGAAACCAACGAAAGCCTTTCCACAAAATAATTATTAAAGACAGTGAGGGAGAG